CTGTCCATGATGAGCAAGCATGTATGACAGTGGAGAAGGAAAGGCTCTCCATTGGGAAGAAACCTCTGGCAGAACCAGGCTCAACATGACGGTCTTCTGCCGGACCGGTTGAGATGAGACAGGGAATGCAGTAAGAGTCCGGGAGGAATGACGCTCTGATGAAGCATTAGCTACGATGGTGGAGGAGGGGCTGGAGGGGGGTGGAAACGGGTCATCATCAAAAACCTAGTATTTTATAGGGTCAAAGAGACACAAAATCTGTTTTTTATTCACTCCACTGGTAGTCTGTTTTGATCAAATAGAAATAGAGCCCTGCCTCTAATTCTGGCCTCCTTCCAATAATGGCCTGGACCAAGATTTACCTGAGTGAAATAAAGCCCCCGTCCTGTATTAGAGGATTTACGGTAGTCTTTTTTCAAGTTGTAATCCTGGTTGTCCTGCTAACAGATAATGACTCTTTTTTGCTCAAAAAATGGTTAATCTGATTGAATCATTCTTACCCATATATTCAATTCTAGCAAACTATCTGTCTCTGTTGCATATTGAGAAAAAAAAAAGGAAAGAAAGAAAGAAAAAAAAGATAATGACTCTTGTTTATTTTTTGGCAAAACATAATTTTTTACTATTTGGTTTAGGTGCCTTTTCATCCCTAGAAATGTCACAGATCACAAACAGCAGAAACTGGTCACTTCCTAAATTCAGAATCAGTGAAACCGGAGCTAAAGTTTGATGAAAAAACATAAAAAACCAGAAAAGAGTACAGGAAAGTTTCCGCTTTGAACAGAATCTAAATGCTGTTGGACTTATGAATTTCTCAGATAAAATGTTTTGCTGTTTCAGATTGAACCTACTAATCCTTTCTGCTCTTGGCTGGTCGTAATGGACTCATCGTTGTCTGAGCATGTGCAATGAATGTTATGTCACCGACCAGCATCAAACCTCCATCACCAGACACAAGACCCTCAGATCATCTTGCAGCTGATGTCAGAAAACTGCTGCAGGACTTTAGTACTATTTTTACTGTAACCAGGCACTGGATCCACAAACCTGCCGTCAGGGAAAACATGCAGCATTACCACAAAGTGTTTTGGTGTTAAGTGTAGTGTTTATTTTAACTCTCCCAGGCTTAGCTTCTAAAGTATCTTAATCTTAAGATGGGCATTTTTTTTTATACTGAAATAGATCATTATGGGGTTAAAGCTCTGGACTTGGACTGTTATTTTATGCTTAATAAAATTTATCTTCTTCTTCTTGTGTTCATTTGTGTCCTCATTTAAAATATATTAAACTTTGCTGATTTAAGGGATGCATCCTCCCCCTGTAAGCAAAAATACATTTTCATTTGTTGTCCCAATGAATGAACGCTACCTAACAGTGCCACTAGATGGCAGTGTTGTACCATGTATTTTGCTGCTTGTTTTACTGTTCTTTTGTTCTAAGTTTGAAAATGATCCCAAACAGTTTAAAAGTGATTACATAAGAAAAAACAGTAATTTAAATATGGTCATTATTTTAGGAGAAATTGCTTTGAATCACTTCCTTTAAACTACAAGTTGCATTTATACAACTTCTTTTTTATTTTATTTTATTTTATTTTTTTTTTACAAAAGACAGATTTAGACAACTTCTCTTTGTAATTGTGTATACAAAGAGTGTATACAGAAGGAAACTTCGTTTATGCAGCTTTTTATTTACATGCACCTAAATAATCTGTTACATTTTACCCTTGGTGGAAGAAAATTAAATGCATTTATGTAAATTTATGATCACTTACGCCATCTGGTGGTTGATGAACAGATCACTGCACAGCAAATTTAGCCATGGACTCCAAGTTGTAAAGTATCTAAAACTACACATAGATTGGATTCAGGTTTTCTATTTAATCCTGGTAATGATCAGATTATTTTCAAAGCATTTTGAGGGAATCGTCTTTTACTGTACCATAGTCATTTTTCATAATGACCCCCCCCCCCTTTTTTTTTTACTTCATTTTTCTTTATTCATAAAAATTGACATCCTAGCATGTATAAAATAACCCCAAAATTTTCCTAATGTTTGCCAGGATAAAATGACACGATCAAGCAAAGTAATAATCCTTAACTTATCAAATGCTGCATGAATGACAGGATGCATTAGCTGGATGTCTTTGTTTGGTTCAGTGTTCTTTATTAGCCTTAAATTAATTCAAAGTCATGCTTAAACCAAAACAATATTTAATATACAACAAAAGTATAAAATAGTAACTCGAAGGAAAGGAGGCTTTATCTCATAAAATTAGATGCAGATGCAAGGCAGAGAGTAGAAAGTACAACAGAGAATTAGGACCAGGCTAGATTTTTTTTCTTTTCTATTTCGAGAATAAAGTCATAATATTAAGAGAATAAAGTCCTAAAATTATGAGAACAAAGTCGTATTTTATGGCAACTCTTCCTAGAAGCCCTTTCTTCCCTAAAATGAGGAATGTGGAGCATCATGTGAAGTTATACTTTAGCATCGGTTTGACAAATAAGAAAATCTTTTAGCAGCAGCATCAAACTGGGCAGGATGTCAAAGTGGACTCTGGTTGCTGATTGGTGGAGCTGGTCGGACATCATCTGATGGGCGGAGCTCCAAGCTTTCTTTCTGAAAAGACTTGTAGTATAATGACTTAATTCTCATAATATTAAGACTTTAATATAGAAAAAAAAATAAAAACCTCTAGCCTGGCCATATTACTCCGTTGTGAGAAATTACTCAGTCTGTTTGAGAATTAATTCTTTGCTCTCTTGTAAAAGATTCCTGTATGTTTTTGTCCCAAAACCTTATTAGTTTACGTCTTACCAAAACTATCCCCTAGATGGAAGCAGTGGACCTTCTATATTTTGTGTTAAGAGCCAACAGAATGCAATGCATCAGGCTTAATAAGCAATCTCCTGCCTGCTCTCAGAGTCCTTGCAGACTGAATGAAGACAAATGACATGGTTTATTTCCTTTATCCTTTAATCAAGAGACATAAATCGGCCTTAAATTCACTTTCATTATCAATCAACATGGTGTAGTTTCATAAACATCAACACTTTCTCTTTCACCGAATAGTATAATGTAAGACTGCACTTCCAGTTTTCCTCTCGACATCCTTATCTTTATCCATTTTCCTCTTTTCCTTTTATTCTTAAACAGTCATTCTAAACTACACTTTTCTAATTTATTTATCTGTAATAGACCCCTCTCCCACTAATCCAACCATCAAAAACAAATTCATGTTTTATGGGCAAATCATCACTATGGCCATCTGTTCTTTAATGACTTAAGTTATAACAGAGACCTAAAGGCTTTTATTCTTCTTAAGGTCAGTAGGATGGAAGGAGGAACTTCCAGGACTCCTCCCAACCCAAGAGCGGCTTAAAACTCTTTTGTATTTTGATGCTTTCAGGACAGACCAGGAACCTCCAAGACTCCATCCATTCTGCCAGGAACTTGTTGACATTGTCTTCAGGCTTAAGCTTACTGCTTGAACTCTGGCTTTTCTTTCGACGAGGCTGGGTTTTACCCAGGAGGTGGCATCCTGCCCACTTTCTCTCAGATTGTTTCTCCTTCTCCAAACCAAGGTACAAAAGCTTCCTGATTTTTATATTTTTTGCTAAAATCACCTTTGGATCACCAACTTCTTTGGACCTAGATTTGTTTTTAACCTGAGCATTGGTATTCTGCAGGAACCGGTGTGAATTTGCCCAAAATGTGGCTGGAGCAAAGTTTTTGTTTAGCAGGGATTTAGTGTTGTTTTGCATCTTATTTGTTCTTGACCACATAATTGAGTAGGAGTAAAGGTTGGTGGATGACTCAATCCAAGGTTGATCCAGTTGGGGCATTGGGTTGGCGAGCCTGAATGATCTTCCCCAATGACATTCGTACTCACTCACAATGGGATGTTGCTGCAGAGTTGACCCACTGTAGTTTGGTTGATTGCTTGAAAGGGATTTTGCACTCCACGAAGAGGCCCACTCTTTCTCAGGGTATCTTTGGCTAAATATCTTGTTTTGAAATGAGTGGCTACTTTTATCTTCAGCTCCTTCAAAGGATATCTGTTTTGGAAGTCGGATTTTTGTAGATTCTTCCACCCACCTTTGGCCGATCCAGTGGGGTGTGTGGTAGGACCACTGCCAGGCTTCCCTCCACTCGACAAAAGATGGTTTGTCATGGCTTAACTGTGTTTCTGAGATCATCCAAGCATTTTGCCAATCTGTTATCAACCCAGTGTAGCTTTGATGTTTGCTTGAGATACAAGGAACTCCTAACTTTTCTTTGCCAACTTGTTCTTTGCTCTGTGTAACATCTAAACTATTCTGGTATCTTGAGAATTTCCAGGATTCTCCCCAAACCCTCTCACTTGTTGGGCCATTTTTAGGGAATTTTTCAACTGAAATCTCATTCTGGTGCCTCTCCCAGTTCACCCGGATCTGTGTTGTGTTTAACCAAGGTTGTTGCCAAAGTTCAGGGCTCTGATTCAGAGGCAGGGAGAGAAAGTTCCAGGAGTCTTTCCACTCTGAGGCACTGGGCTTTAAGTCTTCCCCTTTCTCAGATTCTTTGAAAGGATATAGAGGATCCAGCTTGTACCTTCTCCTCTCTTGTCTCATTCTGTGTTTTATTAACTTCCAAGACTCCCTCCATTCTGAAGGTGGTTGTATTTTTTGCAGGTACTTCAGAAGAAGTAGCTTTGACTTGGGGAGTTTCTTCTTTGCGTGATGTATGACATCATGTCTCAGTTGCTCATAACGTGGGTCTGCTTCCTCAGATGAATTGACCTGAGGCGTCTTCTCTGCCCTTTGAGTCTCAACATCCATCTTTGGTGGTAAGGCTTTAAGTACTTTATCTATTTCTGCACATGGCTTTGAGTTGTTCTTTGATATCTCCCATGACTTGTTCCAATCATTAATCGCTTCAAATTGATCAAACATCTGAAGCTGTCTCTTATGAGATGCAAAGGTGATTTTGTGAAAACCACCCCTTAGTGGGACATGTTCATCAAAGCCATGACCGTGGTCCTGAAAGTTACTCTGTTTGTTGTTGAAGACAGCTGCTGCTGTTCTCCATGAATTGATCCACTCTGGGCTGTGAGCGCTCTGCTGATGAGCGCTCTGCTTGGAACTGTTACTAGTGTGGTGGTTGAGAAGCCTCCAGCATTGCTCCCATTCAGAACTTATTCCGTCTTCCATGTCTTTGATGTCCCTGACAGTCACAATCAACAAACCTTCATTTGGGACAGTGCTGAAATCCTGCTGGTCTACTGGCTTAGTGGACCTCCATGAATCGGTCCACTCTGATGAACTTAAGATTTCATTATGGCGATGGGTTTCAACCAGGGAGGCAAAGAGTCCATATTTGGAGACTTTCCCATCATTTTCAGCACAATCCTTCTGGATTTTCTCAGATCGTTTCCATGATGTCTGCCATTCTTCAGTAGGTAGCTTTAGGTCTAGCTCCTGTGATTCAACCATCCTACAGTTGACTTTCCTCCAGTGCTGATACTTCTGTAGATCCACCATGTTCTGCTCGTTTGGCCAAGGCTTGCCTTCTTCGGAGCAAGGTTGATAGGAGGCAAACATCCAGCACTGCCCCCAGTCTGATCTTACACTTTGGCCCTCTGCTGGTGAAGGTAAGGACTTGTTGAACTTCCAAGCCTTCCCCCACACCAGGGTTGAAGGCTGAGTTTGGGTGATTGACAACAGTAACTGTAGTTTGCTAAAACTCTTGTTTTGCCCTTTCTTGTCCTTGAGATGTGGGGTTTGAGAAGAGAAGCTTTTTGGCTGGAATCCTGGTCTGCCGAGGGGCCCTGAACCTCTACCAAAGGGAACAGCCTGAGGAACCAATGGTTGTTTGCTTTTCCAGATATTTTCATCTGTTTGGCTATCTGAAGGTTTAGCTTTTCGCTCCACTCTTTTGTATTTTCCCATCTTGGCAGTCATACGATTGGCCCAGTCCTTGTTGATGCTGTTCAAACAAAAGAAATATAGATATTTAAACAAGGGTTAATAAAAGAAAACATATTTTTTTCAACACTTGTTCCTCAATTGATTTAGTTGAAAGTTCTATTACTAATATGAATTTCCTAAGGTTATTTTAGCCAGGTCTTAGTAGGTCCAGGTTTTCAACAAATGTTAAGATCGCGTTAGAGGTTATTCTTTATAGGATTATTCCTAATTAGCTTCGTACTTCTTTAAGCTTTCTGGACACTGAAAATTATTATCGTATTGGTTGGTAGACTGTCTGTTCTCTAAGGTGTATGGATAATGCAGGATTCCTTGTTCTGGAGAAACTCAATTCAATTCAGTTTATTTATATAGCGCCAATTTGATAACATGACATCTCAAGGAACTTTACAGAGACAATTTAACCAGATCATCCAGTCAAACTGATTGAAAGTTTTCTACCTAAGAAAAACCAGGTGATTGCATCGACTCATTGAGACGAGCTCCGGGGGCTCCAAGAGCTCCGAGCCAGCTACCATGTCAAATGGTGAGGAGAGTTCTTCCAGTTAGTTACAGTCAGAGAAACATTAAACACAGAGTTTTGCTTATTTTTAAATTTTTCTTTTTACTTTAACTTATTCTGTTATTTTTAGACACTTTTTAAAGTCTACATTGGTGTTACAATAAAGGAATTTTCTATTATATATATATATATATATATATATATATATATATATATATATATATATATATATATATATATATATATATATATATGTAGTGTATGCGCTGTTTATTATGTAATGTCTTCCTAAACTCTGATTCCTTCACAAAGTTATCCCTCAAGCCCTGATGTCAACAATCGGTCGATTCAAACTAAAATACGCTGCACAGTGCTGAGGCATCCTTCTTCTGTTCTGCTTAAACCAGCAGGTTAGGGGAGCAGGTTGACCTCCCCAAGGTGGCACCCATAATTTCTGTGCCGCAACAGCCAATGCAGGGTCTACTCTTATACTTGTATGTCTATGGTGCATTTTATTTTGAAGAGACTATATTTCTGCATCCCCGCTGCAGATCAAGGACAGTGTGTGCAGGAAGTGTAGGACTGACACCAGCAAAGATAGTCCTCTTGAAACATACATTATCTGTAACCTCACAGCGTACATCATAAATCCTTCAGAGTATTCATTACACCTCCCGCTAAATCTGCTCGGCTCGTCAGGCTGTCCTAGGGTGAGACCTGGAATGCATTCTTGGACGGGGACCTTTTGCGGAGATCTTGTGGCAAAGCTAACGGATGACCTTTCGTGTTCTGATGGATCAGGTTTCCTGCTCTGGACATCCTGGTTTCTTCTTTAACATGATGTTGCTACAAATGTCTAAGTTTAAATTGAACTATGCCAATAAATACGTGTTCCAGGACAGAAACTTCTTCACACTCAATTAAACCTTAATATGAAGTGATTCCTGTTTTACAGCTGAACCCAGCAGGACTGATCCCTGCAGAGTCTGTTTGCAGCCGTTAAAACAAAAGACCTGATCTAGAGCCAACTTTATTAGCAAACACGCTCAGATAACGGAGCTGGCGAAGGAGGAAACACTGAACGACTAAAATGTTTAATGTAAAAATTCAAATCAAGCACCTTTTCATCATGGATGCAATGTCTTCCTTATTGATCGATTAAAGTTTAGCTCAAAGTTTTATTTCTGCTCCCAGCAGCTTCCAGGGTTTCTCATCTTAGCAGATCTCCTGGCTCTCTGAACACCTTTCAAAGCCATTCCTTGGACCTCGGCTGCTTTCCCATACAGTTTCACAACCGACAGACCAGTAAGGATCAAGAAGAGCAAAAATCCAGCAAAGACCTGAGAGATGCTTAGTCTTTCAGGTGATCTGCTCTAACAAACATTTTCAGCTCACAGCTGGTTAGGTTTCAACCTGTTGAAACTAAAAATCTAAATTTTGATCCTAAAACTGGATTAAAGCTGGGATTTCTGTTATAGATCTTTTGACGGAAATTGAGATGATTGCTTTTTTTTAACCATATAAAGAGCGTATAAATTCCAAACATCTTTACCAAACACAGAGTTTAAGTATATAGTTGTTCCTGAATGATTTACAGAAAGCCTGGAATCCTTTAACTAAAACCATGAAAACAGAAATCAGGAGATCTGTTTAGAGTCGGGAATCTATTTAAGCCTGGCATACGCTGTGTGATATTTTCAATCCTTGTACTCAGCTACACCTAATACTGGGTTTAAAAGTTCACAGCTCAAGATGCATATTCTTACACTGTGTGACCCGCCGTTCTGCCGCGACCTTACAACAGTCGACTGAATTTCAAACATGTTTGATTTTCTCCTTACCTTACGATCACTGATGGGGAGACGGTCGTGACAGGCTGATCGCCCCTTGTTACCCCCCTGTACACTACAGGACAAAACCCGATCAAAATAATAAGCCCGAAAATGGGATACAAATCGTACAGTGTATAAAGGGACAAATAACGCGTAAATCATCTTTTTTTGCTGATAAACTATAGAAATAGATGTCTAATAGAACTGTTTCTATATTCCAAGCATTGGCGGCTGGCCAATAGAGGCGCCGCCCCACCCACCCAATGACCTTGACTAAGACACAAAAAGAAAAAATTTAAATTAAATTATAATTAAAATATTTTGAAACGTGTATATATATATTTTATTAGATTTACGAGATAAATATTTAGTCTTTGTTGACAAGTAAAGCTGTTTTCATTTTTTTTTCCAATTAGTACGCATTTCTGCCCGATGGCATGATAATCTTTTCCCATTGACTCTCATTAAAAGTTGTCCATGCTCCTCTGCATTACAGAAGTATAGGAGAGCTCTGGGTTCACCAAAGCTACGCCCTGAGGTGACAGGAAGTGTCGTCACAGTTGTTGTGCAGCTGATTCACAGGCTGAGTCACAAAAGTGAAATCCCTTAAAGCAAACTCACCAAGAGAAGCTGGAGGTGAAATCGTTTGGACCTGATCAGGTGATCACATCAAAATAAATCATCAGTCCAAAGACAGATGGAGACACTTCACTCGCTCTTTTTCCAGGACTGGTTTAGCTCCAAGGCTAGGCTAACTGCAAGCAGCGAGGCTAACTGCATGCAGCGAGGCTAAGGCTTTATTCTGTTTTCCCTGCCTCCCGTAAAAATTCAAAAAATATCCACTGGACTTGGTTTTCAAGATTTGAATCAAATCTTGAAAACCAAGTCCAGTGGATATTTTTTGAATTTTTACGGGATGACTATGACCTGGATGACTGAGAATCTTCATCAGCATATTTTTCCCTGCCTCCTTTTTAAACCGTCAGGATCTGAGCCAGCATGGATAAAGGCAGCTAGGACTGATTTAAAGAACTTTGAAGAAAAGGCAAAGAAGGATGAACAATCTGGGATTCACATGGAAAATAACAGAATATAGACTACTTTTTGTAGGTGTTTGTTAATTTGCATAGTTGCTCCTAAATAAACACATTCTCAGGAAATGAACAGTTGGTAGATATTAAAAAAAAATATATAAAGCTGACTAATAGCTTCTCCATTATTAAACTGGTACATTATTTTTTTTTAGGCTTGTAACTCAATTGGACAAAACACAGATTTACCTTTAAAGCCTCAGAAACTGTACATGAAATTATGTTTTTGTCATGATCTTGGCACCATAGGCTGGGTGTTTAATCCCTCTCCTTTGCTCCTCCCCGTCCTAATCATCTCTCATCAGATCCACCCGTTTCTCCTGCTATTAATGCCATCGGTGTCCTGCCCATGATGCCAGATTATTCAAGCTGTTTGGTGAAGGTAACTCTGATTATTGTTCTGATTCTCTGATTGTGACCTGTTTCTGTCTTGTGGATCCTGAGTTTTGGGTTTTCTTCTGACCTCGGCTTGGATTCCCCTCCTGTACCTCATTGGCTCTCTGATATTCTGGTCTGTAAACTTGGTTCTGCTAATACTTCGGCTCAGACATTCCCTTCAGGACACTGCTGCTTCTCAGCGTCGGCTGGCATCAGCTCAGCTCATCTCTCAGCGCTCAGAGGCGGAGCCTTTCACAAGCGGAGAACAATCTCCCTCTAGGATTCCTCTCCTTCCTCTGGTTGAACTGTTAACCAAGCCATTAACCAGTGATCTTAGTAGTTATCAGCCAGTGATATTTAGTCACTGACCTGAGTTCTCTATTCCTACAGAAGATCCGGTTTATCTGCTCCAGCTGATGAGGAGGCGCATGACGTTTTAAAATAAAGACAGTTTAAACTCATTGATCTGTCTGTTTTTGAATATTGGATCCAATGTTTTCAAGCTCCTGACAGGCCAGATTATTCTATCAGGAGCTCGAAGTAGTAGGTGAGGTTATTTCTGACATTTTGAATTGAAAAAGCTTCCTGGATGGGAAGCGAAACGTCTTCAAACTTGGAAAAAAATGTCCAGTGGATTGTTTTTTAACTTTTGTGGAAGTAACTAAACCTTTAATCAAACTGTGTGATCCAATGGAATCGTCTCTAAAGGGCCTGAGATTAAATGTCTCAGTTAAATGTCAAGAATCAGGAACCTCAGTCATGTGAATCTGCTCAGGAACTTGATATTTTGAGCAAAACCATTTAAAAAAAATTACTGGAACTTCTGACAGTTTGGAAAAACATGAAATAAAGACAAAAAACATAAATATATAAAATAAAATACTGGATTTAGAAACATATTGTCAGCACTAATCTGGGCGGTCAGAGATTTTTACGATCAGAGGTTGACTTCTCTTTTTATCAAAAATAATTTGATGTGAGAAAGTTTGCAGGATGAAATTTCAGCCTCCGGGTTTGAATATCAGAGCAGCAAATGTCACGGCAGCTTAGACGAACATTTGGGCATCATGCAGTTCATCCACTGACAGCAGGACTTTCTGTGCAGTTCAGAACCGACAGAATGCTCTAAGTTGGGCCCAGTTTCAGATCATCTAAACAGTTTAACAGGATGGAGGTTCGGCTTAGAAAAGCAGAATAAAAAAAAACTTAACTGAAGATGGATTGCATCATTAAGCATCATCATCAAAGCGACATTAATGTTTCAGCATCAGTCATTTTCAAAATGTGTTGGAATACATTATTAAAACTATATCCGCCTTCATCCTGCAGGCTGTTTCTTTTACGGATGAAAACATCAAATTGAAAGCTAAAATTAAACCTGATCTCCTTTTTCTGATTCCCAGCTGGAATATTTCTTACATGGGCAAAGCGCTCTTCTCCAGGCGCTCCTGCTCCAGACGCATCCGCTCTCCGATCTCCCTCATTCGGATCTCCCACACGTTCTTCATGATGGAAGCATCACATCCCACCACCTCTGGACCCTTTTCATTGGACATCTTCAGACCTCCTGGAGGAAACAGACCAACAGAGGGGTCAATGTCAGCATCACATCCAGCCTGTTAGATGGTGCAGACAGGTGAGAGTGAGACCTCCTGCAGGGTTGGAGCTGCAGCACCTTCCGCCGGTGATAATCTGTGTGGAGACACTGCTGACAGCTCTGCTAATTTATACTGACCCTCTGAGAGCCAATGAGGGGCTGAACCTGCTAAAAATACACACCAACCCCAAACTACAGCTCTCACTTTTCACACAGGCTCACTAAGGTTGTCAGATACGTCTCTGCACCTCTTCAGCTCCTTTTGTAGTCCCTGATAATGTCCAGTTTAGAAGGAATGTCCTCCCAGCAGCTTGTAGTCTTCCTGCTCTATTCTAACAAGTTTGAATGCCTCTCTGGTTTATTTTTCAGCTGAAACTCCAGGATCACCAACGTCTGGCTTTGTTTCTGAGGGGAAGATGAAGAATTGGAAAACAAGCTTTTAAAGAAACTGAATTTGAATTGCCTTTACTAATCTAGTTTAATATAATTTGAATTTGAATTAATTTGTTTAACCCTGTAATGCCAAATGTATCATATTTGATACATACGGTTTCTGAAATGTTTTGCGTCTGACACCTTTTGCATTATTTAATGGTAGAAACTTTGCTCAAAATCCTATTGTACACAATCAGATATACCTGATAACAGAGGGCAGAAGACTACACAAAAAATAATCTTGACTTAGCGCATAGTAATTAATTATATCAGAAATGTATTTCCAAGGCCAAATAAGGCCAAATAAGGCCAAATAAGGACATTCAAACCAAAAAAAAGTAATTTTCTGTTTTGTTTTATTCTTGGATCGGGCTTTAAAGGGTTAAAAATTAATTTTACATTGTTCGTTTGAAACCGGAATCGATTGCTTTGAAATAAAATTTAGTAGGATGGAAAATTCAATTGTTCTTTTTTGTAGTTTCAGTTATATGATTCAATTTCATTTGGTAAATAAATCCTTAAAGTGACACAGACAAGTATTCTCCATTTAGTATCATCACTTAATAGCTAGTAGAAAAAACAATCTTACTGTAGTGAGCAGTTATTAGTTTAGAAATTAGGATATAATACCAAAAATTAACATGATTTTCAAATAAATACTCCACTGCTGTTACCAGAATTAATCTATAACATGTTTAAAGGTATAGGTAGCAACTGCATCCCAT